TGCATGCTGCTTCTGCGTCAGACTGATGCTGGCTGGACAGGATTTACCGCGAGTTTTCAAAAGCGCGATAATCAAACACGGTTTTGATGATAATTCAATTTTAAACGGTAATACTAACCGTCAGGGCATTTTATCGTGATTTATCGTGAAACCGGTAATCGTTCAATCCCTAATACGTAGTGTAGGTGTCACCTTCAGTAGTTTTTGCTAGGGCTAGTTTTGTCACCTTGTGGGCAAACAAAATGAGTGCCAAAAATTCAAGGCGCACATGTCAGTCTACAAAGTTTGCAAAATTAAAATAAAATTGGACTGCACACACCATGCGCATACAATGCCATTGACGATATTAACATCACATGCACTGTACACATACCCTAGTGTATGCGTAAAAACCTAAGTATTCTTTGGGTAGGGTTAGGGTTATATTTTTAATGAGGTGTTCCTTTAATGAATGTTTTCCAGAATACATTTTCAAAATCCATTTTGCTGTTACTTTAGATGACATACAGGTAATTCGATTTTTCTTCATTTGTCAGTCGCTTAAAAGTGGTTGATGGTTGGAGCCGCTGACTCAGTGGGAAGCAGATTCAAAGCTAGTCTGCATCATATCCCCTTTCCCCTCTTTTTCCTTTCTCTCTTTCCTTACTTGTCAAGTTTATATTTGAGATGTTATTTGATGTTGTTTATAGCACACCAAGGAAGACAGAGTCCCAATTATCTCAGTAAACAGCATCCAAGTGGAGGAGAACTCCGGTGTGGTCATCACTAACTCCTCCCTGAATGTGCTGGACCAGGACACACCTGAAAATGAGCTTCTCCTCACCCTCATCAAGAAGCCGTCATATGGTCAGTGCCTGTCTTCCTCTTTCTATTTCTCTTCATATGCCCACTTCATACCCCAATCTGTCGCTCATTCATGGCCAGCCTTCAGAAAACATCCATTATTTGCCATATAACCGCTCTGACCGGCTCCTGTGTGGCTGATTGATGTTCTTGTCATTGTGCCTCTGCCACTGATTAGAGAGTCGGTGGAAAGGCCACGACCCACGGGGCTTCATTGGTTAAACTTTTATGGGCGCATGTCAAGGTGTTCACAGCAGTTTTATTAGGAGTCGCAAGTGAGGAATGGAGCTGACAGAACTGAAATACAGTCACGGCGTCAGAGTGCTATGACAGCAGTGCAGTTACACAAAAAATGACATTGAGCGACCATTAGAGGTCAAGTGCACATTTATTTGAAAATGGGAAGCAGAGCCATGTGTGTTTATTTTATATGTTTATACTATGTTTGATGGAAAAAAAAAATGAGAAGGAATGTAGCATTAATGTTCATTTCTTTGCAATGCTTCTGTGTGTGTCTCAATAGGGAAGCTACGCAGGAGGCAGTTCTACTCTCAACCTTTAGAGAACGGCAGGATTCTTCAGCAAGGATCCACCTTTACTTACCAGGATGTTCTAGATGAGCTGCTGGTCTACACCCCAGACGGACGTGGCTCTGGGACAGACGAGATCCAGTTTTCAGTAACAGATGGCATATACACGGAGACCGGCCGTCTGGAGTTCAGCATGGATGTTAGGAAGCGAGAAGGCCCTAGAGTTACAATCAACAGAGGACTGCAGATTGCAGCAGGTCAAGATACAGCTACATTACATTGTCCTTGCACACATCCCAAACATCCCTGATTGGTTAGGTTGCTGATTTTTAGTAGTCGTCATTATATCAGACACAGTTCAGCACATAATCATTTTTTAGTCTCTTAACTTCTTCTGAAATGAGTGAAAAAACAGACTTACAAAAACAGACTTTCTTTCTTTCTAGCATACAGTAAAATAAAAATCGCTTTTTTGTCATGTTCCCATTTCAAACAAGAAAAATTATTGCACCCCTTTACTGCCCCAACCCCTCACCATGAGCTGATCATCAATCAGTGTTATATGTGACCCTGGACCACAAAACCAGTCTTAAGTTGCTGGGGTATATTTGTAGTAATAGCCAAAAATACATTGTATGATCATTAGGCTATTAAGTAAAGATCATGTTCCATGAAGGTATTTTGTAAATTTCCTACTGTAAATATATTAAAACTTAATTTTTGATTAGTAATATGCATTGCTAAGAACTTCATTTGGACAACTTTAAAGGCGATTTTCTCAATATTTTGATTTTTTTGCACCCTCAGATTCCAGATTTTCAAATAGTTGTATCTCGGACAAATATTGTCCTATCCTAACAAACCATACATCAATGGAAAGCTTATTTATTCTGACTGGTACCCTTATGAATGGTTTTGTGGTCCAGGGTCACATATACAAATGTCTGTACTTAATAGTAAATAATGGAGAAAAAAAGCATCTAAATAATTTACGTTTATTCATTGCTGACCCTTGACCAAAGGATTTTAAAAAATAAGGAAAAACACAAGCAGTTTAACATGAAGGAGCCAGTGATATTAGCACTGAAGTTTTGTTTAAAGTTTTTTTTTTTGGCTGTTTATTGAATGACAAAAACAGTTGTGTAAATAATTAAAAACACAATGAAAATTCCATTCGTTCTTTCAGTTTTCATTGCTTTGTTAAATAATAAAAAGTTACATTCTGTGATTTCCCTTTTGATTTTATTACAAAACCATTTTAATTATGGATAATGGCTTTTAAAATATCCAAAAATTTATTAATAAATAACAAAGCTTGATACCACTTTCTTGGAGTCATTTTAGAGGAATAGTTCACCCAAAAATTTTAATTCATCATTCACTCAGCTTCATATAATTTCAAACCCGTATTTTTTCATCTGTCAAACACGAAAAGAGATGGATGAGAAGCACATAAAATTCACATAAAAGTCTTTTGAAACCATTCAACAGCTTTGTGTGCAGACCAGACCGAAATTGTGGCATTATGCACTGATAATCTCTTTCTGCCAGATGTCTTAGTGAACTAGAGAAGCACCTCACACTCTGAGAACTACTGCAGTCCAGTCTAAACAGATCTCACTTCATTATGATGCACCAGTTGAAACACTGAATAATTGAGGTTCCTATCTAGTTAGACTGAGTTGATTTTAATAAATAACTGTATCATTTCTGTTACCGTTGCTCATTCCTCCCGACAGGTTCCTCATCTAAGATCACAGAGCAGCATCTGAAAGGGACGGACGTAGATTCAGATAACCTTAAGCTGCGGTTCACCCTCACTAAAGACCTGAGCGTGGGCTCCCTGCTGCTGAATACAGGCAGAAACAAGGCTCAGATATCCGTCAAAGGACCTGTCACCAGCTTCACCCAGGATGATATCAACAAAGGTTTTTCCTCCATTGCTGTCTCTTTCTCATACATAATCATCCATAGGGAATTTCTAAGCAGAGATGCATTGTCTCATGTGGTTTTGCACCTCATCTGTCAGGACATGTGGAATACATTCATGAAAAGGGAGAAAGTGGAGGCAGCTTCTCTTTCAAGTTCAACCTGGAAGATCCCGAGGGAAACGGAGTCATTGACCAATCTTTCTTCATTAGTGTTCTGGGTGAGCCGAGAAGTTGAAAGAGTCATGTTCAGGAATGTTAGAAGAAAGTTATTTTGGGACATCCTCATCTTTTTTTCTCTCTCAGAGGACAGACTTCCTCCCACGGTGGTGGTTAATAAGGGTTTGGTTATGGATGAGAACACCTTGAAGAAGATCACAACACTGCAGCTGTCCTCTACAGATCAGGACAGTGAACCAGAGGAACTCATTTACAGAGTCACCAAACAGCCCCAGCTCGGCCATCTAGAACATTCCAGCAAACCAGGTACAGACAAACTTGTTGGGAGTGATGAACCAACAGTAGAACTAAATTATTCAGTAACAAAACAGTAACTCAGCTTTCAAATTATGCGGCTGTCCGGTAGCAAGCTGCTTTTTCCATCTAGCAGCACCGTATAGTTACAAAAATTGTAAATCACTCTTAAATGCCAAATTGTAGAACCATTACCACTGAACAAGTTGAAAAGATGCAGCATAGCAATTCATTCTAGTGAATCCATTCATTCGGACAGTTCACATATGTGACCCTGGACCACAAAACCAGTCTGAAGTCGCTGGGGTATATTTGTAGCAATAGCCAAAGATACATTGTATTGGTCAAAATTATAGATTTTTCTTTTATGCCAAAAATCATTAGGATATTAAGTAAAGATCACGTTCCATGAAGATATTTTGTAAATTTCCTACCGTAAATATATCACAACTAAATTTTTGATAAGTAATATGCATTGCTAAGAACTTCATTTGGACAACTTTAAAGGTGATTTTCTCAATATTTTGATTTTTTTGCACCCTCATTTAATGTTTATGTCTCCGGCCGGACACGGCATCAACAGTATGTGAGGGGCGTAACATTTCCGTCTCACGCTTGAGGTATTCGGCCAATCACAACGCATTGGATATCTGGCCAATCAGAGCACACCTCGCTTTTCAGACCGATTAGTTTTGTAAAAATCGACGCGTTTCAAAAAGGCGGGGCATAGAGGAGAAACAATAATGTACAGTATGTGGAAAATAATGTGTTTTTTGAACTTTAAACCGCATAAACACATTTCATTACACCAAATACACAAAATAATGTTCTTTTTAGCAGCATCATATGACCCCTTTAAATTAGGGTCAGTTAAATAAATCATTCTAATAAATTATTTCTTTAGTGTAATATAATATTATTAGAATATTATATTGTTAGTTTAATGCTATCAACCTAATTGATTAATAATTAATTGAGATTAATTAACTGAAAAAAAGTGTTTTTGCAAGCCGGTATGACTGATTTGCTCAAAAGTGAGATTCGTTGGCGAATTTGGTATTACTAGTTCTGATTCTTAAACAGCTGACATGATTGCTGATGCACACAACATAACTGCTAAAATATTATCAAGGAAAATGGTTCTCGGGTCAGTATAAAATAATCTCCACTGTCAGACAAGGAGTTTTTTACTAATGATGCTTTACTGGGGCACAGTGGTATTTCACTGGGGCTCGTGTCCTAGTAAAAAGGGCTTAGCAACTGCCCTGGTTCTACATATAAAAAGATGTTGCCCCCTTACATAGCTTCAATGCAGTTAGGTACGTTTTATTTGAAGCTTGTAGTTTCAAAAGAGTAGTTTAACTAAATTATGGATAGTTTATATCTTGGCAAGCTACAGTTTGAAAGTAGCTTCCCCAACACTACGTCTTATTTAGCCTATAGCCTATACATATCTCTACTTATACACAAATACACATACTACACCATCAGTGTTATTTGTTTCTCTATCGAAGGCTGATTATGAAAAGCCTGAGAGATCATAATATATATTTATAGTCTGCAGTCCTGATTCTGTATGGGCTGTTCAGCAGAGCAGCACATTTCTAAAAGCTGGCCACAACTGCCAGACAATGCCTGGAAGATATGTAGTATGTTTTATATTTAAACATCATGTTCAAATGAAGACTGAGAACTCATTAGATGGGATCTAGCCTATAGATCTCCATCAGAGCATCATATAAGGGGGTTTCATGGGTGAAGATCTGTTTTTATTTTCCTTTCTGTCCCTCTTGGCGATGCCCGGATTGCACTCAATTGGATTTCTGCAGTAGTGCATGTTTTATTCATCCATTTCAGTTGACATGTGGGATATTTTTAATGGTAGCAAGTGAGTTTACATTATTATTTAATACCAAGGGCAAAATATGAAGTGGTGGACATGGTCACTGGAGAGTTTTTCTCGGTTTGATGTCGTTGCAGGAACACGGATCAGCACGTTTACCCAGGCTGACCTGGCCTTCCGCAACATTCAGTATGTTCATACCAGTGAAGAGGAGATACATTCTGATGACTTCACCTTCACTGTATCTGACGGGGGCAATGAGGTACATACAAACACACACACACGCACATTCAGTGGGGTCAATT